TCTTGCATACATTGCATTTCTTTACAGTTTTGTGTCATCTGCAAACGCTGAAACATGACATTTAATGCTTATTTCAAGATCATTTATAAATATGTTGGACACCGCTTACCACTTCTGTTTAGATAGAACATTTACCATTAAAGGACCACTCTAGGCACCCAGACCACTTCAGCTTAATGAAGTGGTCTGGGTGCCAGGTCCAGCTAGGGTTAACCCATTTTTTCATAAACATAGCAGTTTCAGAGAAACTGCTATGTTTATGAATGGGTTAAGCCTTCCCCTATTTCCTCTAGTGGCTGTCTCACTGATTTTCACAGTGAGAGCATGCCAGCGTCCATAGGAAAGCATTATGAATGCTTTCCTATGTGACCAGCTGAATGCGCGCAGCTCTTGCCGCGCGTGCGCATTCAGCCGACGGGGAGGAGAAGAGGAGGATCGGAGGAGGAGAGCTCCCCGCCCAGCGCTGGAAAAAGGTAAGTTTTAACCCCTTTCCCCTTTCCAGAGCCGGGCGGGAGGGGGTCCCTGAGGGTGTTTTCCTGGCACTATAGTGGTCCTTTAATGATATCTCTCTGTACTCTATTTTAAAGCCAATGTTCTACCCAAGAACAAGAATTTTCATCTAGACCAATTTCTTGGAGTTTGAACACTAATCTATTGTGTGGAACTGTATCAAATGCCTTGGCAAAATCCAAGTAGATCACATCCACTGCAAAACCCTGATCTATACTTTTACTTACTTCATGGAATGCAATTAAGTTAGTTTGACATGACCTATGTTTCATAAAACCATGCTGATTTTTGCTGATAATCATGTTCTCATTAAATTCCTTAATATTATCCTTTAATAACTTTTCAAATACTTGCTCAGCCACAGAATTTAAGCTCACAGGTCTTTAATTTTCAGGCAAGGATTTTTAACCCTTTTCGAATATAGGAACCACATATCCTTTCTCCAATCCTCCGGTAGAATTCCTGAAAGAAAATAATCTTTAGAGATTAAAAACAGAGGTTCACTTATTTCCACACTTAGTTCCTTAAGTACTCATGGATGAATACTGTCAGGCCCTGGAGCTTTGTTGATATTAACTTTCTTTAGTTGATGCAGTACCTTGTCTTGAGTTATACAATTACAATATTTCTGTAAGTTTTTTGCAGCAAAGATTTGCATATCTATAACCATAGGTTCTTCCTTAATATAATACGGAGGAGAAATAGTTATTTAAAATTTCTGCCTTTTCCTGGTCTACATTAACGAACACCCCCATCCCAGTTTTCAGTGTACCTACTTTTGTTTTTTAGAATTTATGTACTTAAAAAATGCTTTGGGGTTGGTTTTGCTATCTTTGGATATCACTTCCTCACTTTAGAGTTTAGTGAATCTAAGTGCCTTTTATTCGTTATTGGCTTCCTTGTATCTTTTATAGGATAACTCTAATTTGTCCAATTTAAAGGCTTTAAATACCCTTTTCTTATATTTAGTTTCTTGATTCACTTTCCCACTAAGCCACTGTGACGGACTGCCTGGCACCCCGACCGGGTGCCTCTGTCAATCGCTGTTTACTAGTACTCTACTAGTACTCTACTAGTACTAGTGCCACACTTGACCTTTTATGACAATCCCCATGCAAGGAGTTCGCCCATATGGACCTTGTTGGGGACTCCAACACAAAGACACAGACCAACAAGAACAGTGATTAAATGCCCGACACTCCCATAACAAACATACAATAAGATTTGGCTTTAAAGGAACACTATAGGTTCAGGAACACAAACTTGTATTCCGGACCCTTTAGTGTTAAAACCACCATCTAGACCCCCTGGCTCCCTCTTCCCTCCCTAAATAAAGTAAAATCTTACTTGTATTCAAGTCTCAAGCTGCTGTCTCTGTCTGCCTACAGACCTGCCCCTGCCTGCTGACATCATCAGAAGTGTTGTTCTGAGCCAATCACAATGCTTCCCCATAGGATTGGCTGAGACTGTCAAGGAGCCAGATCAGGGGCTGAGCCAGCACAAGTCAAACACATCCCTGGCCAATCAGCATCTCCTCATGGAGATTAATTGAATCAATGCATGTGTGGAAAGTTCAGTCTCTCCATGGAGACACTGAATGTTGTGATGCATACTAGACAAGGCTGAGATAGGAAGCAGCTTTAGCAGCCATCTAAGGAGTGGCCAGTGGAGTTATCACTAGGCTGTAATCAGTGGCGTACACACAACCCATGGGGCCCCAGTGCGAAAACTGATCCGTGGTCGCAGGGGTCGCAGGGCGGTACGCCACTGGCTGTAATGTAAACACTGCATTTTCTCTGAAAAGATGATGTTTACAGAAAAAAGCCTGAAGTGAATGATTCTGCTCACCAGATGCAATAAGCTGTAGTTGCTCTGGTGACAATAGTGTCCCTTTAACTCATGGATGACATACAAACATACCCCACCACATTTCCTGTTTTTTCTATCCTTCCTAAATAGTGTGTAACCATTTAAGTTAACTGTCCAGTCATGTGTCTCATCCCGCCGTTTCTGTTATTAACCTAGAGAGTTTCCTGAATACTACGTAATACATTGCTTTATAACCCAAATGATTAAACTAGCCTGACTGCCATACTGAATGGTGAATATTTTTTTTAATATTGGCAGTTAATCATTTGTTTTATTTACTACTCACAAAAATAAATTCCCTGTAAGTTATTTTCTATCAGTTGGATGATCCCACTAAAATGGATTAGGCTTAACTGCAACCTAGGTGGGGTTTGCAGCTGATCCCTCACCTTGGAACTAACTTATATAGCTGTGAATTATGCTTTTGGTCTCCTTTTTTACTCACTTTTAAACAGCAGGGATTAACCCGTCCTCTACTGTGGAGGCCTTTCACTAATCTTAGAGGTGGAATTCAGACTGAAACTTAGCGAACCTGGGTATGCTGCAAGATGAGCTTGCAGCTATGTGAGTTAGAGCCTTTCCCACAACGAATGTTATCCTGTCGAAATTTGACTATATTTTTGCACAGTTCTAGGCTCAGCTGTCCTGGCTAATCTGAATACATGCCTTCTGGATAGAGCAGAGAGATAATGTGTTGGGAAGTCTCGGAAGCCTTTGCCGGCCATAGATGAAATTTTTAGCAGAGTTACTTCACAAGTGCGCCCTCCCAGGCTGAGAGCCATTCAGAATTTGTTCCCACCACCCACACCTGTTACCTAGGTCCATACAAAGACTCGCTGCGTGGATGATTTGTGCATAAAATCACTACAGGCCTGGGGCTGGTATGGTGTATTCTAGTGGCCCCACCACCATGCTTATTATGGTGCTTATATTTTGTGCCTTATGTTTTGTTATTAGTGTGCTTAACTGTGAAATCAAACCTCCTTGTGGTTTCTATAGTTTTCTGGGTCATCTTATGTTAAAAGTTTAAAAAAAAAAAATTATTTTAACTCTATTACTTTTTCTGAACAAAAATGGGGTGCCCTACACTTTTTCTATAACTGCATTGTCTATTGCTCTGACTTGTGGTGACTACATATTGTTTTATGTATTGGCAATGTCATTATTTGCTCTGATTTATTACATAATTACGTAATCATGTAAAATCAATAATATAAATATATATATTTTATTTCACAACTATTTTAATGTTTCTAATGAGTCTGATAGTTTAGGAGGTGTGGTTTCTTTCCATTGAGGGGGGTGAGGTCAATGTCCAAGGCTGGAATCAGGCTCCCCACCATCTTAAAAGTTAACTAGCCACCACAAAGGTTATGTGAATCCGGTATGTAGAAACTGAGAATTAAATGAAAGGCAAAGAAAGGAAAAATTACCTGACCTTGGAGTGGCTAGACTTAATGAAGCACAATCACTACCTAGACAGTGGTTGCTGACAGCATCAGATTACAGTCTAGCAAAAACAGGGACAAGTAGAGTTCAAGATAACAGAAAACAAGATGGTCAGAATGCAAGCCAGGATCAGAAAATCAAAAATCAGGAAAATCCAATATAATAGGGCCATGTCAGAAACCAGAAATACAACAGTATCACAGGTCCCAATAAGCAGGAAGACTTTCTAGCAAAGTAAGTGAATAAATTTAATGCTCAGGCACAGGGGTGAAGCAATGAAATGTTGTTGCTTTTGCTCAGTGAGAGACAAACTATCCTTCAAATATGCAGGCTTCAGAAAGAAGCCCCAGAGATGGTTGCCACAACTAGCATAGCCTCGACTTCTACACAAATATCGATCTGCATGCTGACATTACACAAAGCTATGCTGACAATCTATCAATAAGTGTTGTGGCAGGCAGTTAGCTGGAAAAAAACCTTGTAATAGCTGATTTAGTAGCCAAATTGCAATGACTGCTATATACATTCCTGAAGAAGTGAATTCCTGTCATGAAACAGCAAAGATATTTAAAGAGACACTCTCAGCACTAAACCGCTCCAGCGTAATGCAGAGGTATTGGTGCCTGGATGCAGGGCCGCCATCAAGGAGTGACAACCATGACGTTTATCACAGGCCCGGGCCCCACGTGTAGCGGCGAAACTGCCGCCGGTGCAGTTGCACTGGGGCCCGCACGCTGTTGGGGCCTATCGGGTGGCCCACGCACTTAGGGCCACCCGATGGGCCCTGTGTCTTCAGGGGCCCGATCAGGGGCCCGATGTGAATTGCGCGACCGGGCCCCTTTAAAAAAAATCTCAGCCGCAAAGTACTGCTGGGAGGAAGTGGCTGTCACTTCCTCCCAGCTCCCTTCCCTCCGTGCCGCGCGGGAGGGAAGAAAGCCAGGCCGCGGGAGCCACGCTGACTCCCATCAACCACAGCCTTCCATCTGCAAAAAAGGTAAGCAAAATAAGCTGTATGTTAGTATGCATGTATGTATGTTAATATGTATGTATGTCAATATGTATGTTAATTAGTGATGTCCCGAACTGTTTGCCGAACGGTTCGCGAACGGTTTGCCACGAGCGGTTCGCCACGGACTCATCATTGAGTAAACTTTGACCCTGTACCTCACAGTCAGCAGACACATTCCAGCCAATCAGCAGCAGACCCTCCCTCTCAGACCCTCCCACCTCCTGGACAGCATCCATTGTGAAGCTGCATTCTTAGTGAGCTGTCCAGGAGGTGGGAGGGTCTGGGAGGGAGGGTCTGCTGCTGATTGGCTGGAATGTGTCTGATGACTGTGAGGTAAAGGATCAAAGTTTACTCAATGATGAGTCCGTGGCGAACCGTTCGTGGCGAACCGCAGCGAACCGTTCGCGAACAGTTCGGGACATCACTAATGTTAATATGTATGTATGTATGTATGTTAATATGTATGTATGTATGTCTGTATGTATGTATGTTAATATGTATGTCAGTATGTATGTTAATATGTATGTATGTATGTATGTATGTTATTATGTATGTTAATATGTATGTATGTATGATAATATGTATGTATGTATGTATGTTAATATGTATGTCAGTCTGTATGTATGTATGTTAATATGTATGTCAGTATGTATGTTAATATGTAAGTATGTATGTATGTATGTATGTCTGTATGTATGTATGTATGTTAATATGTATGTATGTTAATATGTATGTATGTATGTATGTTAATATGTATGTATGTCTGTATGTATGTATGTTAATATGTATGTATGTCAGTATGTATGTATGTATGTATGTGTCTATCAGTATGTATGTATGTATGTATGTATGTGTGTCAGTATGTATGTATTATAATATGTATGTCTGTGTATGTATGTATGTGTGTGTGTGTCAGTATGTATGTATGTATGTTTGTATGTATGTGTCAGTATGTATGTAAGTATGTATGTCTGTTTGTGTAAGTCAGTATGTATGCATGTCTGTATGTGTGTATTTCAATATGTATGTATATGTTTGTGTCTGTCTGTTTCTGTGTGTGTGTATTTATGTCCTTATGCGTGTGTGTGCAGTGTGCATAGGAATTCGTTCATATTGTTTATTGTCCGGCCCCAACAGTGTCTGAGGGACCATGAACTGGCCCCCTGTTTAAAAAATTTGAGGACCACTGTCATTATGTATGTATGTATATATGAATGTATGTCTGTATGTATGCATGTATGTCAGTATGAATGTATGTCTGCATGTCATTATGAACGTATGTCTGTGTGTATGTGTGAATGGATGTCAGTATGCACGTATGTCAGTATGTATGAATGTATATATGTATGTCTGTATATATGCCAGTATGAATGTATGCCATTATGAATGTATGTATGTATGGATGTCAGCGTCTGTATGTCTGTCTGTATGAATGAATGTATGTCTGTGTGTATGTATGTCGGTGTATGTATGTGTATGTCCTCATGCATGTGTGTCTGTATGTATGTTAGTATGTGTCTGTCACTATGTATGCCTGTGTGTCTGTATATATGTGTATGTCTCAGTATGTGTGTGTCAGTATGTATGCCTATATGTGTGTATATCTGTTTCAGTATGTGTGTCTGTTAGTATCTATATGTGTGTATATGTGTCCTTTTGTATCAGTGTGTGTTTTTGTGTGTATTCCTGTGGGCGGGATTTGGAGGCGGACCCTGTGGGTGGGATTGGAGACCCAGACCCTGAGCTGAGTTAGGGGCCCCAAAATTTCTGGTGGCGACCCTGCCTGGATGTTTGCGAGAAGCTCCAATGTTTATATTTGTCAATCAGTGTGTCTCTAGTGTCTGTCAATCAGATAACCACCCAAGACGCTTCCTCATAAGAACTTAAAAAAATGTAAAATGAGACATTTAGTCTCATGTTATTCTGTGAAAAGAATCGTATTGGCACAGTGAAGCAATTGCTTCGCATGCATAATAGGCCTTCATTGCTTCTCTGTGGAGAAAAATTTGATTGGCCAAGATTATCTACCTGTATTATCTCAAACAAAGCTGCATTTGTGAGATCAGGATGCCGACGTATGAGAAGCTTTTAAGAGTTTAACTTTTTATATTTCTTAGTAAATGGCAAAAATGCTATAGTGCACCAGAATAGGTATGCATTGATAACAGAATGTTTCTATAATATTAAACCTATGTCTGGGAATGCCATAATTTTTATTTATCGTGTTGTTTATAAAATGGCTGTCAATGCATATGATCAGTTAGAAGTGTGAATTCAAAGAGCTCACCCAGGGTTTGCCAAGTGTCTTTGGTCTCAGCAGGCAATAAAATATCTCTACAGGGTATTGCAGTTGACAGCAGCTGTAGTTATAGTTCTTAAAAAAGAGCCTTGTCTCTATATCCAAATACCTGGCAATGGCTGGCACAGTTTACTAAGCCTACGCTACAATCTTGAAGCATGAAAAGATTATCTGTAACGATCAGCAGCTCTGCTGCAGAAATGGCTTGTTCGTTGTTTCTGTATCTGATGTGTTGAGTTAAACTTCAGCTTACTGTGCATACGCCATTTTCTGCCACCATGTGGAACGGCCACTAATGTTAGACTACAGAGATAGGAATTGTATAACAACAAATCATGTTATGGTTATGTGGATTTATTTATTTTGTATGTAAGTTTCCATAGTTACATACATTAAGGGTGTTTTTCTATTTTAGGTCTTATTTCCATAGGCTGAACACGAGGGTCGAGGGTTTAATTGGCAACTTTGAATATAGTATAAGTTGTTCATGTTCCGTGTTTCTTTAGCAAATTTCATGGAAGAATGCTCATTCCTATACACAACTGAAGACAAGTAAAATTCAATTCTCATACTTTATTCCAGTTGGTTTCAGGACTCATATATTTGTCCTCCTGCAATGTGTAGTTATTGGCAAAGCCTTGGAACACACATGTAGTCCTCTTCAGGGAGGAAAGAGACAGTTGTGCACTGTCAGGATAGGGTAGGAACCTAGACATAAGAAATTAGACTTTCCATGTACTCGTCCTTAAAGTAGTCGGAGAAAACTGGATAAATGGCAAACTAGCCAAGGTCAAAGCATAAAGGTTAAACAAGCCAAGAATCAGATACCATAACAAGAATACACAAGAATGTGCTATTGGACTAACTAGAACAACAACAAGGCAACATGGAATGGGAGAGGTGAGTATAAATAGGGAGAACTTAATCCTATTGGCCCACATCTTCCTAGAATTCCTTATGGTTCGTGAGTGGTAGAAACTCTATAAAACTGCTTACTACGTAATAAGGTCGCACAGAATTTGATCCGGCGAATATATCATCCGGACCCGAATTTAGTCCGGTGAGTTCGACATTCAGACAATGTTTGTTGCATTATAAAACCACCTGGAACAAGAGCGTGCAGTGTCACACAGAACACCAGCAACCCTAACAGTAACTCCCACCAGCCAGGCAGAGAACAGAAGGCTTGAGAGGAAAACAGGCATTAAAGGTATGGACCAAACAAAGCACGTAAACGGTCCTCAGGGCCATAACCCGTTCAGTGTACCAGAGACTGTAGAGATATGCGAGAGGCAAGTAGAGAATGGATCTCAAACTCATCATAGGAAACAGCAGATATAAGTCCAGGCAGAGTAAACATGATCAGGCAGAGTAAATCAATTGCATATCAAAGGTTTTAAAAGGGACATATTAAATGCATTTGGGATAAGGAGAGAAGAAGGCAACTCCAGTGCATAAGACGCATGGGTTAGTTGAACTATGAACTTTATAGGGACCAGTGACCCTAGGGGCAAATTTCATAGAGGGGACTCGGAGGCATATGTTCTTGGTGGATAACCAAACCCTCTCACCCGGCAGATAAGATGGAGCCGTCGCACAAAAGTGATCAGCGTATTTTTCTGGGACATGGCTGTTTGAGACAAGGTACTCCCATGTTTTACGCAGAGTAGAAAGGTGTGTTTACAAAGCGGGTATTACCTTGTCCGAAAATACACTAGAAAGAACACTGGGTTGCACACCATATGCTACAAGGAAATGACTCAGCCCAGTATAAGCATGATGAGTGGAATTTCTAGTGAATTCTGACCATGGGAGCAGGCCAGTCCAATTATCCTATTAATTAGAAAAGCAGAGTAAAAAAGCAGCGCAAGCACAGTTCCAGAGATTGGTCAGCTCTTTCAGCAGCTCTGTTTGTCTATGGATGATATGCGGAATAAAATGAGCATTGGATACCCATCTCTGAGGAAAACCTCATCCAGAATCAGGAAATAAATCCCCTGTCAGAAATTATTTCTGAAGGGATACCATGCAATCTGAATATTTGGTTTGCAAAAAGTTTGGCCAAGAGTTCAACTGTAGGTAGATTGTTTTAAAAAGGAATGAAATGGGCAATTTTAGAAAATCTGTCAATGACCATGAGTATGACTGTGTTGCATTCAGAAGGGGGTAATTCCACAATTAAATCAATGGACAGATGTGTCCATTGCATAGCATGTTATGATGCCTAGGTCTGTATGTTATGACAAAGTTAAAATGTGATAGGAACAAGGACCAACAGACTTGTCTAGATGACAAATGTTTTGCTTCTGCTATATAGGATCAATTATCACTAATATGGGATGTTTATCCTTTTAAAATATATCTCCATTCTTTAAATGTCAATACAATAGTTAGGAGCTCCCTATTCCCTATGTAGTGGCGTACATACCAGGGGCCCGGCCGCCCTGCGACCCAGTATGTATGCCAGTGTGGCCAGCCTCTTCTCCTGGGGGGCCCAGGAGCTGGCCACCTCAGGGCAAGGCTGGCCCTGGTGTCACCGGGCGGGCTGGCTGGCGGGCGCGCGAGGGAGCACTATCCCCTGAGCGCTCTCTGCCCAGCTCCCTCGCGCGCCGCGTACTGATGCCAGAGCCAGAATATGACGTCAGGGCCAGCCTCGCCCTGAGGTGGCCAGCGAGGGACCTGAACAGGGAGCACTCAGGGGAGAGTGCTCCCTCGCGCTCCCGCCAGCCAACCAGCCCGCCCGCCCGGTGACCGGCCATCCAGCAACACCACTGGACCCCAGGGAATCCCCTCAGCACTCCCAAAGGTAGGGAGGCTGGGGGACTAATTTTTTTTTTTTTAAATGTGTGTGTGTGTGTTAGTGTTAGAGTCTGTGTGTGTGTTAGAGTGTGTGTGTGTTAGTGTTAGAGAGTGTGTGTGTGTGTGTTAGAGAGTGTGTGTTAGAGTGTGTGTGTGTTAGTGTTAGAGTGTGTGTGTGTTAGAGTGTGTGTGTTAGTGTTAGAGTGTGTGTGTGTGTTAGAGTGTG